GAGTGTGTACCTTCACCCCGGTACTTGCTGGCATAGAGTCTGTCAAGGACAGTCAGTCCTATCTCCCTGTCACTACTGTCTAGGGTGTTAGGACTGTGTGTGTGGTCATAGAACCGCGAGTTTAGTTCGGGTAGTGAACCAAATCCCCGAAGTAGAAGTAACCTGTTCGGTCTAAGTGTTGAGGTGTGGAATTGTTGTTAATTGTGCTCCCCTTCCCTCCATCCTCCATTCCCTCCCTCGTCATCGATCTCCTCCTCCCTCCGTCATTGTCCTCCCCTTCCCTCCATCATCGGTGTCGTCCTCCCTCCGCCCTTCTYCCTTCCCGCTCCTCCCTCGCTATTGAACTCCTCCATCCTCCATTCCCTCCCTCGTCATCGATCTCCTCCTCCCTCCGTCGTTGTCCTCCCCCTCCCTCATGCATCATCGGCGTCGTCCTCCCTCCGCCCTTCTCCCTTCCCCCTCCCTCATGCATCATCGGCGTCGTCCTCCCTCCGCCCTTCTCCCTTCCCCCTCCTCCCTCGTTATCGATCTCCTCCTCCCTCCTCCATTCCCTCTCTTGTCATCGATCTCCTCCTCCCTCCATCGCTGTCATCCCCCTCCCTCCTTCATGATGTCGTCCTTTTTTTCTTTTTTTTTTTCATATACGAAATTTTCAATAGTGCACCACTGCTCCCCCTCCCTCCTTCATCATTGACGTCGCCCTCCCTCCACACTTCTCCCTTCCCCCTCCTCCCTCGCTATCGATATCCTCCTCCCTCGTCATCGATCTCCTCCTCCCTTCGTCGTTGTCCTCCCCCTCCCTCCATCATCGGTGTCGTCCTCCCTCCGCCCTTCTCCCTTCCCCCTCCTCCGTCGCTATTGATCTCCTCCTCGCTCCTCCATTCCCTCCCTCGTCACCAATCTCCTCCTCCCTCCGTCGTTGTGCTCCCCTTCCCTCCATGCCCGGCGCACTGGTGCACTGCACATCCAAGTGCTGCGCAGCGTATCCCGCATTGCGCATCGCGCATCAATGCACGCATCCCCGACGGGCGCACGGCGCGCTGCGCACCGCACCGCATCGCGCAGCGCATGGATGCGCCGCAAGTATGGTTTTTACGCTTTCCAATAAGGTGGTGCTTCTGGCACGTCAAGTCACTCTGCATGTACGAGTGAGCAAACGATGCATGACTGAGTGAAGTTGCATTGCATTCATCATGCTGCTCCTTTGTACCTGTCCGCCTTTCAATGCCCATCTGCCATTAATCACGTCAGTTGCTTTGCCTGTAGGTTGGTCTGTACCTCAGGCAGCTTGTGCGTCTGTTTCCACCTGCCTGTCAATCGGTCCCTTAGTCTGCAAATCTGGACGATGGCATTTTCAGGTTGTATCTGTCTCTCTGTCTTCATGTCACATGCTTATCTCCGTTTGTCTCTGTGCGCATATGTCTCTCTTCTGTCTATCGGTCTGCCACTCTGTTTGCCTATCTGCGTCCGTGTGTCTATCTATCTGTCTTTACCTGTCTGTATGTTGCCTGTCTGCCTTTCTCTGTTTCTCTGTCTATCTGTGTATCAGTCTCTGTCTGTCTGTCTGTCCTGTCTATCTGTCTGTCTGTCCTGTCTCTGTCCTGTCTATCCGTCTGCCTCTGTTATATGTCTGTCTATCATCTATGTTTTTTTTTTTAAATAACGAAAATACTAAAATAGGTCCTTATGGTCCTGACTCCAACTCCATTCTGGGGAGCGTCAGTCCAGTTACTTTTCCCCTGGCAAGTCGTGAAATACAACATTCACCCAGTCACACTCCCGTTAGTTAGTCAAAAGGACG